CAGGGGAGAAACATCCTTGGCCATCTGGGGAAGCACCCGTAGCCGCCATATTAGATGCCAAAGCCCCCAGCCCAGGGGAGGCACATCCCTGGCCATCTGGCGAAGTAGCAATGAACGCCATACGAAGAGCCGTTGTTCCCAGCCCAGGGGAGACACGCCCCTGACCATCTGGGGAAGTACTGGGCGGCGCGGGTGAAGAGGAGGACCCGGCACTCATGGAACGGTCGCGCGGCTGCGCCGGGAGGGGGGGGGGGGAACTTAGGGCCTTCAGGGAGCTGCCCCCTTACCCCCCACCCACCCACCCACCCGCCCACCCACCCACCCACCCGCCCACCCACCCATCCACTCCACCCCCCCTGGCCAACGCGCCGTCCCGCGTGGCGGTCGGATCCCGCCCACGCGGCCCCGCCAGCTGCGGCGCGCTCTCCGCTCCTCGCACCGACGGCAGCCCCGACACGGGGGCGCGCGGCGCTCGGAGGGCCCGCGGGCCCCACGACCGCCGCGTACTCCACCGCGCCGCCAGGTGCACAAACATCCTCGAAGAAATCAGGGGACTGCTCATCGATAAGCCGCCTCTCCTCCTGCTGAATGAGAAATAGAGGCACTCCGTTGAGAGGCATCTCGATACGGCCGCCGCACGACTGCAAGTCGCAGCCGGGGATCGTCGAACAAATGCAGAGAGACAAGACGACCAGCAGCCGCGCGAAGGCCCTCCAGATCTGTCGGCAACTGAGCCTCTAGTGGCGCACGCAACTCCTCCTCCTTGGCGTCCGCAATGACGGAGCCCAATGGCATGGGCTCACCTGCAGCGCCCACCTCGGCCGCGGCAGCAGGAGTGGCAGGCGCCTCTTCCCGCTAGCCGCAGGCGTCTTCGGCGCGACTGCAGCATGCATCCCCTCGGGCTTGACGACCAACCGCGGCTCCGACTGCAAGAACTGCCCCATGCTGGACGCCAACGCTCGCGACAACACAGGCGCCTGCTCAACGCCCAAGCCCTGATGCACCAGCATTTTGCCCAAGGCCTGCACGTCAATATGCATGTGCTTGCCTTTCGCCATAATATCTGCCTCCTCAGGGGTCGCAGGTGCCTGCCGCGTGAGCTCCTGCACCTGCGCATTGAGGGCCAACACCGCGCACCCTTGCTCCTGTAAGTCCTTCTCGGCCTGCTCCAGGCTCTTCTGGACCTCCAGTAACTATTTTTTCCTCGCTGCCACCAGGTCTCGTGATGCCAAGGCCCTCTTCTCCGCCGACTTGAGCCGATTGGACATTGTCTGCAACTTCGCGTACATCGGGCGGGATTCTTGGAGCTCGGCGTGAATGGACTCCTCCTCAGCCCGCAGCGCCTCCACGAAAGCCTCCACATTGGCGTCTCCAGAATACTTTGACACGAAAGCCAGCTGCCCCTCAACATCCTTGAGCCGACGACGTGACTCAGCCTCATCCCCCTTGGCGTCATCATCGGCAAGCTTGGCATCTCCGAATGAAGCGCCGCCACGGGGGACCTCCGTCTGCAGCGCGCGGACTTGAGCCCCAAGCTCGCGAATCCGTTTGGTCTGCAACGGCGAAGCGTCAGATTCCTCTCGCCATGGGAACTGCTTGGCCAGCTTGGTGCGGCAGGACGGCTCCGAGGGTTGGACGTTGGCCCTGAACGCCGCACCTTTGGCCAATCCGCATAGTACACACTTCGTCGCATTCGCTATATTCCACCATTGCTTGCCCGTGCGAGCGTTCTTGCAGGTCTTGCAGTGCCACTTGCAGGCAGCCTGCTCCCGCGTCCCCATGGTATCTCCACACAGCGCTGAACATGCTCGCTTGCGGGCGCAGGAGGCAGACGAAGTCTGGGGCGGATCAGGCGTCGTGAGAATATGAAATCGAGCCGGGGTGACAGCGGTATCCGTTTTGGCCTGGAGATTGGATGCCTCCCGTGCATGAGATCTTGAGCCGAAATGGCTACGGAAGGGAGAGGAGGCGGAGGAGGAGGAGGACGGGGAGGAGGAGGAGGAGGAGGAGGAGGAGGAGGAGGAGGAGGAGGAGGAGGAGGAGGAGGAGGAGGAGGAGGAGGAGGAGGAGGAGGAGGAGGAGGGGGGGCATCTTGGTAGTCTCTGGGGGCACTCTTGCGGCCTCCTGGAGGCTTCCTGGGAGCCTCTTGGAGGCATTTGGGGGCCATCTTGGAGACCTCTTGGGGCCTTGGAGGCTTCTCGGGATCCTCTTTGGCAGTCTTGGTGGGCTCCTGGCCCGTCTGACGCCGTCGGAAGCCGTCTCGGGGGCCTCTCTGGGCCGACTTGGGGCCTTCTTGGGGTGCTCCAGGGCCGTCTTGGAGGCCATCTTGGGCGTCTTGGAGGCCTCTTGGGCAGTCTTTGGGCCCTCTTGGGGCCGCCGTGGGAGCCTCTTGGGCCGTTCTGGGGCCATCTTGGAGGCCTCTTGGGCGACCTTGGGGCGATCTTTCGGGGCTCTTGGGCCGTCTCGGGCCGTCGGTAGGCCGAAAACAGCAAATGCCAAAATCCTTCCAAAACCTACGTGAAATCAATCTTCAGGTCTTCCTGGAGGCCCTCTTAGAGGCGTCTTGGGCCAGCTTAGGGCCATCTTCGGCCGTCTTGGTGGGCTCCTGGCCCGTCTGACGCCGTCGGAAGCCGTTTTGGGAGCCTCTCTGTGCCGACGTGGGGCCCTCTTGGAATGCTCCAGGGCCGTCTTGGAAGCTTTCTTGGGCGTCTTGGAGGCCTCTTGGGCCGTCTTTGGGCCCTCTTGGGGCCGCCGTGGGAGCCTCTTGGGCCGTTCTGGGGCCATCTTGGAGGCCTCTTGGGCGATCTTGGGGCGATCTTTCGGGGCTCTTGGGTCGTCTCGGGCCGCTGGGCGGCGGCGGATTCTAGTGGCTTTCGGCCCATCCCGCCACTGTGCAGGGTGTTTGTATGTGTTGGGGTGTCGTGGGGAGCCTCTCGGGGGCTTATTGGAGGCGGTTTGGGTGCCTCTTGGGGGCCGTCGGAAGACCGAAAAGGAGGAAACCCCAAAGTCTTCAAAACCCTGCCGAAAATCAATGATTTGGGCCTCGGCGGGCCTTCTTGGAGGCCTCTTGGGATGTATGCCTCCTGGGGGCTTCTTCGGGCGTCTTGGGCCATCTCGAGGCCGTTTTGGGCCGTCTTGTGTGCACATCGGGCCGTTTGGGAGACATCTTGGGACCATCTTGGGCTCTCTGGGGGCCATCTTGGCCCTCCTGGAGGCCATATTGGGCGTCTTGGAGGCCTCTTCGGCCGTTATGGAAACATCGTGGAGAGCTCTTGGGCGATCTTGGACCGATCTTGGGGGCCTCTTGGGCCGTCTTAGGCCGTCGGAAAGCGGAAAAAAGGAAGCGTCAAAATTCTTACACATGTTCGGGGAAATCAATGATTTGGGCATCCTGGAGGACCTCTTGGACGCCTCTTGGACCGTCTTGGAGGCCTCTTGGAGGCCTCTGAGGCCGTCTTGGGACTTCTTGAGGCCATCTAAGGCCGTCTAGAGGGTATTGTGGGTCGTCTTGGAGGCATTTTGGAGCCATCTTAGCCGTCTTGGAGGCCATCTTGGCCGTCTTGGAGCCAGCTTGGAGGCCATGTTGGGCCATCTTGGCCGTCTTGGAGGCGACTGGGGCAACCACCCGGGCATTCTGAGCACCCTTCCGGGTCCTTCCGGGTGGCTGGCGGGACAGGCCGGAGCCCCAGGGAGAGTTCTTTTGGAAAAGAACCCAAACCAAGAACGGTAGCGTCTAGCACGCTGTGCACCCCTGTGACAAGCACAGGGGGCGGGACCTCCAAGAGGCAAAGTCGTTTCATCCCATCCCTAGGAAAACGTACGTTTAAGACGGCCTAAGAGAGCTCCAAGACGGGCCAAGAGAGGCCCTTCAGGGCCCCCAAAGTTTCCCAAGAGAGCCCAAAGAAGGCCACAGGAGGTCCCCAAGGGGACCCACGAGGGCACCCAAAGGGCCCCAAGACGGCCCAAGCTCGCGAAAACGGCCTAAGAGGGTCCCGGGACGGCCCCAAGACGGCCCAAAAGAGCTTCAAAAGGACCCCCAGGAAGGCCTGGAAATGCAATGTTGATTGATCTTCGCAAGGTTGGTTGCTTGATTTTTGCATGTCGCACGGAAGCCTCAACGCCAACGGGGCTCCAAGATGCTAAGCCAGCGACCTCGCGCCCACACAAAATAAACGCGTTTTCCGTCCCTATGCCAAGCAGGTAACAGAAAGAGCGAGGTACCAGTGATGACGTTCTGGTGGGGCGAAGCCCTCTAGGGAGGGGTCCAGGGGAGGGGCAAAGGGGGGAAGGGATGGTCCAAGCGCCTTCTTCCTTTGTATTTGTTCGAGGGAAGCGGCTCCCAGGCAGCTCCCATGGCTTGTTTCTTAGTATTTGTTCGAATGAAGCGGCTCCCGGGCGGCTCCCATGGCACGTTTCCTCGTAATTTGTCGAGTGACGCAGCCAAAAAACTCCAAAACGGCCCCAGAGAGCCCCGAAACGGCCCAAGAGGGCACTAAGACAGCCTCAGATGGCCTCCAGACGGCCCAAGAGAGTTCAAGACGGCTCCAGAGGCCCCCAAGGGGACCCCCGAGAGGGCCTGGGGAGGCCAAAAACTTTGATTTCCCGTAGGTTTTGGTAGGTTTTTCGGGTTCTCCCTTTTACGGTCCCAGAAAGGCCCCAGGCAGCCCAAAAGGCCCCAAAGATCGTCCCAAGACGGCCCCATAGGTGCCCAAAACGGTCCAAGAGGGCCCCAGATGGGCCCAAGACGGCCCAAGAGACCCCAAAGGTCGTCCCAAGACGGCCCCAGAGGCCTCCCGGTCCGCGCTTGGGCCACGCTGCTGTCCTTCGCCGCGAGGGGGGCCCGCGACGCAGGCCAGGATTGCCTGCTATGATGAGCTGATGCTCACACCGTCCCCGTCCCCGTCTGGTGTCATATCCCCGCCAGGGCGCGCGCGTGCTTCTTCACATCCGGCCTTCCTTCTTGTCCTTTTGCCACGCTGGGGGGGGCCTCCAGCGGCCAGGACTACAGATACCTGATGGCCGCGATGAGCGCCTACCCGACCCGGCTCAAGGGCATGTTCGCCTCTGACTCAGCTTCCATCCATCATTTTGTTTTGGTTCCTCCTCCTCAGATAGAGCATCCTCATCGTCCTTCTAATACCCTTCCTCCGTCTTCCGAGGTGCGCCGAACGCATATTCCACATGTGCCGTCTTCGCCATCCTCTTCCTCTTCCTCCTTCCTGGTTGTTTGTTCTACGGTGCATCACCGAACACCTTCGAGCGCCATCTTCAGAAGGCAGCCCCTACTTCGCCATGCCTGGCCAAGCCGCCAGTGCACAGCTCTTGGCACTCGGCCTGGCGCGATCGTAACGGTCGCTGGGTAAAGCTTCTCATCCGCGGGCTCATTGTTCTTGGCATCCCTTCTTAGACCCGAGGCGTTGCGAAAAAACACGGCGAAACTTTGTTCCTCAGTCGGGTTGTTTGCGAATACCGTTTCGTGCTTCCACTTCTAAGCACTCCTCGCGGCCATGCTTGGTTAATGGATCTTCTGGTGTGCGGTCGTCTGGACAGGCGATCGCATCTTGCGTGTCCATGCGTGATGGCTGATCAGCTGCTGGATTATGTCTGCTAGCCGTAGGCCAGTCCGGAAGATGACATACAATTCGCAGTGGAAGTTCTGTAATTGTGTTTGGAAGGGTCGCGCACAGCTTGCCGGCCCCGCCGGGCACGACAGTGGGTTGAGCGGGGCGGGGCGAAGGATGGCAGAACGAGTGCCAAGGCCAACAAAAAAATGCACGCGACGGCTGTCCTCGGGGACGGGGTCGAGAGGCCCAGAGGGGCCACGCGGTGAGAGAGGTCGCGATCCCAGAGGTATGGGTCCTCGTCCTCGGAGTCCGAACCTCTCCTTTTCATCTCGGACGATCGAATGGGTACGGGAACAATGAGTACAAAGACCGACAGAATGTCCTGCTCATTCTGCACAGGACTCGCTGTCGGTGTCGCCGCAGACGTCGTCAAGTTGAGACAACAGGCCGCCTGCCGAACAGCGGCCACTGCCGATTCTGGGCAACTTGGTTCGTTGGCATCGTACCCGGTTTTGCCGTATCCATTTTGGGCGTCCGAATCATCCTCCCATGGGCTTTGACACCCTGAACGAGGTCGTTTGGGCAAGGATTCGCACATGAGGCCGTCAAACGGCCAGGCTCTCTGTGAAGGCTGCTGGGCAGAGGGGGCAACGATGAGTCGACTGCAGGGCGAGAGGAGAGAGCGAGGAAACCGAAATGGGGGTGCAAGAAGATTCTAGGTGCGTTCTGGGAGGAGGGGCTCTTGGAAGGCGGCGAAGGAGCAGGAGGCAGAGGAGAGGTGGAAGTGGAGGGAGAGGAGATCGAGGAGGAGACGAAGAGGAGGAGTAGGAGGAGGAGGAGGAGGAGGAAGAGGAGGAGGAGCACGCGGAGGCAGAGGGCAGCCTGGGCTGCCTCCCTGTGGTGGCCCAGCCTGCCCCCGGAGGTGGTGTGGCGACGGCCCCCCCCCCAGAGCGGTCTGGGCGCCTCCCGCGCTGCCCCGGGCCGGCGGCGCCCCCTCCTGTGGAGCGCCCTTGGCTCCCGGGCGCGGGGTCAGGCCGGGACCGCCTCCGGGGACTGTGTGCAGGCAGCCCTCCAGGCCTCCCAGATGGGGTCGGCTTCCTGGGCCGCAGAGGTTTTCGTGGGGGGGCTTCTCGGGGCTTCGTCGTCTTCGCCTTTGTGGGTCTCGTGGCGTGGGGGGCCCTTGGCGCCACGGCCAGAGTCGCCTCAGAAGCCTGGTCGGAGGATCGCGCCCCATCACCGATGCAGCGGCGACGCGGCTCGATGTGGATCCCGATTTTCTCCACGCCGACCGCGCCGATGCACCGCCGAAGTCGACGATGCAATGCCGATGGATTGTCGATGCATCGGCGATGCATCCAGCACAACCCCATCTGGAAGGCCTCTAAATGCAGACCCTGGACTCTGCGCACTCCAGCTGGGGAAGCCGAGGGATGGAGAACGTCTCGACGCGCGGCTGCATTTCCTCAGGCGTGCCACTGCCCTGGTAATATCAAAGTCCCCGTTTACGAGGCCCTCCCTGATGTTTGCGCGCAGCCCGAAGCCGCTCCACTCCCAGTCCTTCTCCCCATCCTCCTCCTCCTCCTCCTCCTCCTCCTCCTCCTCCTCCTCCTCGTCCTCCTCCTCCTCCCCCTCCTCTTCTTCCTCCTCCTCCTCCTCCTCGTCCTCCTCCTCCTCCTCCCCCTCCTCCTCCTAGCCCTTTCGCGACTCAGGAGTCGGTCGGGGCGCGCACTCCGACAGGGCGCAGCGCCTCGGAGCCATGACTTCTTCCATCGTGAAGTTTCTGTGAAACGTATCCCATGGAAAGATGAAGGACAAGTATCCGGAGTTTTGTGAAGCATCGACAGGGTCTGGAGGGCTCGGGCAGACGCTTTGGGGTGCTTCCGAGGGTCGTTTTGGGGGCCATGTGGCGCATGTTGCCTGGGGCCGTGAGAGCGTGGCGAACGCTGCGAGCAACCACCAACGGCAACTTCGGGAGCATCGGCAAGATAGGTGGCGCATGCTGCTCGGGGTCGTGCGGGCTTGGCGCAGGCCGAGCACAACCGACAGTGTCTACCTTGGGATCTTCGGCCTCTTGCCGATTCACTTCGTGAAGGATCTGGATGCAGAAGTCTTCCAGTGGAGGCTCATCTGCGAGGCTCTGTCGAAGGTCCTCGAGTGGTGGAGGGGAACCTCTTCTGCTCTGGGCACTCGGCTCCCGGTGGGAGCCTGCTGCGGCTGGGTGGCTGGGCCCTCTGGGGCCTGGCGGCGGGGCCTTTTGGCTCTCTTGCGTTGGCGTCCGTGCCCGCGTGCTTGAGAGGTTCTTCCCCCCCCTCGTCGCGGGGCGGGCGGGGCGAGCAGCCTGTTGAAGAGGCTGGTATAGTCAGCACCCGGCAGCACCTCCTCCTCCTCCTCCTCCTCCTCCTCCTCCTCCTCCTCCCCCTCCTCCTCCTCCTCCTCTTCCTCCTCCTCCTCCTCCTCCTCCTCCTCCTCCTCCTCCTCCTTCCCCTCCTCCTCCTCCCTCCCTCCCTCCCCCCTCCCTCCCTCCCTCCCTCCATCCATCCCTCTCTCCCTCTCTCCATCCCTCCCTCCCGACCTCCTCCTTCTCTTCTTCATCATCATCATCATCATCATCATCATCATCATCATCATCATCATCATCATCATCATCATCACCATCATCGGCAACATCGGCAACATCGGCAACATCATCATCCTCATCATCATCATCATCAACCACGACAGCATCGTCATCATGACCGTTTTTCATAAGCCTAGATATACATCATCAGCTGCAGCAGCAGCATCATCAGCACCAGCATCACAATCACCAGTGTCATCATCAGCAGCATCACCATCGTCGTCCTCACCATCATCCGCATAAGCACCACCAACATCACCATCATCATCAGCATCCGTGCCATCGTCAGCACCATCATAATCAGCATCAGCATGGTCCGTCTCCTTCTCCTTCTACTCTTCATCCTCCTCCTCATTCCCCTCCTCGTCCTCCTTCTCCTCCACCTCCCTGCCGCCTCCTCCTCCCTGCTGCCTCCCCCTCCTCATCCGCATCCTCCTCTTCCTCCTTCTCTTCTTCCTCCTCCTCCGTAGCCATTCTTCTCAAGTCCGTAGCGTTTCGCTCAGGACACGAGCAAACCGGCGCGGGGTCGGCGCGCCCCCGCCTGCGAACTTGCAGCCAGTCCCACTGGTTCATTTGTTGTGAGCTCCTGCTGGAGCAGCTCCCTTCGAGGAGCACGACGTACCTTATCAATCACGTCCAGACTGTGCCACCTGGTTCTCGCCCACGGCTCTTTCTGCCGCCGCTGTTGGGAAGTCTCAGCCACCGCGGTGGAAGACTGTTCCGCCATCCTGGGGAGGGCAGTGGAGAGAGCGCCGAGACATGGGCCCTGGTGACTTCGACGGATGGAGAGGTTGGAAAGGCACCTGCGCGTACCAAATGCGAATGCAAGAAGAATGTGCGTGGCAGATTATCATGTAGAGCGTGTGGACACAAGCTTTCCGATGTTGCCCCTGGCGCAGCGCCTGAGCCTGGAGGTGTCGGGGCAGACGATGCGCAGCAGCAGCCTGCTGCAGAAGGCGGCAAATGCGGCAAGAAAGGCGAAGACAAGAAGGGCAAGGGCATCGGCAAGGGCAAGAGCGACGACGCAGCTGGTTCTGGTGGGGTCACCCTACCGTTGGCTCCAAGCGCGCAGTTCCTAGTGTCCCAGCCAGACAATGACAGGGATATCGCAGAGGAGTTTGAGCAGCTGGTGGCTACGTTGGAGAAAGCAGGGGGCAGTGCCAACGCAGCTAAGCACAAGCGGACGCTCCAGGAGAAGCAGAGGAAGCTCGCGGAGGCATCGTACGTGGCGCCCTTGTCCCAGCGGGTCACCATGGTCCACAAGCAGGTGCAGGAGCTTGACAAGAAGTCGGAGAAGGCAGTCGGACACTCCGAGAGGCTCGCTGAGGGCCTTGAGCAGCAGCGCCAGCGGGCGCAGCAGCTGTCGCGCGAGTTGGACGAGCGCGAGGGCGAACATCGCAAGCTGCTGGTGGAGCTCAAGGCGCAGGTCGTGGATGTCTCCCAGGAGCCCTCCCAGGTCGCGGCCCTCAGCGCGGCTGGCATCTTGGACGGCCCGATCGAGGAGATTAGTTTGTCTTTTGCTGGGCTCGGGTTCGACGACGCGGAGTATGAGATTGATGAGAATGATAAGATGGAGTTTGTTGAGCGTGCCACCAGGTCTCAGATTGACCAGGCCGCGGCGGCCAAGGCGATGTTCGGCCAGGCTGCGGAGAAGGCGAAGGCTTTCAAGCAGGAGCAGATGGCACAGCGGCTGGCGGGCAAGCGCAGGCGGCAGTCTGATGAAGATAGCGCCAGGCCCGCCGCTAGGGCAGCAGCTCCTGAAGGCGCAGGGGCTCCTGCGGCCCCAGCAGCGGGGGCCTCCGGGCAGGCGGCGGCGGGGGGCGGGCTCGAGCAGGGGGCGGCAAAGATTTGCCACCCACAGCCCCCATCAGGCCACCGC